CGAAAAATCCAAAAAAAAAGAAAGAAAGAAAGAAAGAAAGAAAGAAAGAAAGAAAGAAAGAAAGAAAGAAAGAAAGAAAGAAAGAAAGAAAGAAAGAAAGAAAGAAAGAAAGAAAGAAAGAAAGAAAGAAAGAAAGAAAGAAAACTACTCAGGTACATATAGCAAATTCCAAGACATCCAGCACACAGTAAGGGATATTATATTTCAAGCCACTTAACCAGTGTATCTCCGCTGCGCCATTCATCAAATCTTAAGAGTAAGAAATTGCAATTTATGTGGCACTATAAAGACAAAAATAATTCATACATACTTCAAACCCCTAGAAAAGCACAAAGAACAAAGGTATTATACAAGTATGTGTTTCCTACAGAACACAAATGGAATGCTGATGTTCCTTACTCTCCCAAACCAGCGCTCTGCTGTAAAGACAGTGGAGGAAGTCAGATGAGGGCAGTTGCACGGAATGGACTTTTAGATCAGGATCATGGTAGATACGTAAATTAAAGCATCTCTGCATGTTTAACATGGGTATGTGCAATGAGGCATTCTCTATGACACTTTCACGTTCTGCTATGACAAACATGACGAGAGGGTCTATATTTCAGAGATGACGAAACACTGTGATTTTTGGACCCATCTAAAAATATTCCAGGGTAAATCTAGGGGTTGGCTATTTTGGTAGGGTGCCAGTAGAATCCTATTGGCTAGACATCGTAATTGCTGAAAGTAGACAGTGGAGTACAGAGTGTGAAATTCTACCCTGCTTGTGTATAGGCATGGTATCATCTATAATGGAACAACCATAATTCCAACCATGCGCCATCCGAGGTAAGCAGGCAAGGGGTACATGAAGGGAACAGGAGGGGTTGGTGTGGGAAAGGCAATGTCCCCCCCCCCGCAAGTTCAGTGTTGCAAGAGCAAGTTTGAATGATCTTCCAGGTTCCCAAAATTGGTTGGCTTAAAAACCCTTTTCTGACACACTTTGCGGTCTGTTTCAAACAAGTAGCTTGAGGATGTCTTGAGAAAATAGCCTCAGAAGATCAAACAGCAGGCTAAGGAGATCTGAGAACCCTAAAGAAGCAGAGACTGCTTCATGAGAGCAATGCGTTTTGGGATCAAAATGCATCTTTTTCAAACTGAATTGTTTCTTGGATCTCCTGCTTTTTCTCTTTCTCTTCTGTTAAAATTTTGTTGGAAATTTTACCTTTAATATTTTAATTTTTTTCTCAAACACGTAGAAAGTTTCTGTGTCCTTTGTTTTTCTCTGCACTTATGCATTCTGTTGTTATGGGAACATGACCCAGGCCAGCAAGTGATTTGCCCAACCACTCGGAGACTACAGCAGAAATCCCTTAGCTATCAGACCAAGACCCTTGCTAGTGCTTCAAGAAGACAGACCCACATGAAAACGTTTATTGTTTATAAAAGTGGAGTTCAAATGGTGTGCGCTTACATATATACAGCTGGGGATAGGACCCCACCTCTAGATACATTTTCTGAGCAATTAAACACGTTTCTTTTTCCTGTGGTGTTCCCCCCTTTTATTAACTGTAGATTTTTTTTCTCGCGTAATATATTCTGATTACGATTTTTCTCCCTCTATTCTACCCAGTTTCTCCCCACCTCCCCTACCGTCTGGATCCACCCATTTCTACCTCTCCTTAGAAAACACACGGGCTTTGGCACAGGAAAAGGCCCTTTGAACAGAAAACACTGTTACCTTAATGCACAGGCACTAAGATCAACAATTAATAAATGGAACCTCATGAAACTGAAAAATTTCTGTAGGGACACCATCATCCAGATGAAGCAGCAGCCTACAGAATGGGGAAAGATTTTTTTACCAACTCCACATCTGATAGAGGAATAATATCCAAAATATGTAATGAACTAAAAAACAAACAAACTAGATGGAGCTGGATAGATGGCTCAATGGTTATAGACATTATCTGCTCTTCCAAAAGACCCAGGTTCAATTCTCAGCACCCCCATGGCAGCCCACAACTGTCTGTAACTCCAATCCCAAGCAATTTGCACTGCGTGCACATGGTGCACAGATATACATGCAGGCAAAGCACCCAGACACAGAAAAATTAAAAAGTAAATCTAGCCAGGCCGTGGTGGCACACGCCTTTTATCCCAGCACTCGGGAGGCAGAAGCAGGCAGGCCTCTGTGAGTTCGAGACCACCCTGGTCTACAAGAGCTAGTTCCAGGACAAACTCCAAAGCTACAAAGAAACATTGTCTCGAAAAATTTTTTAAAAAGTAAATCTAAAAGAATGCAAAAAGTAAACTAGATATCAGAAAAACGAATAACCCGATTTAAAAATGGGGTCCAGATCTGAATGGAGTTCTCCAGAGAGGAAACTCAAATGGCTAAGAAACACTTCAAATGAATGTTTGATACCCTTTGTTGCTAGGGAAACACAAATCAAAACTACTTTGAGATTCCAGCCTATACCTGGCAGAGTAACTAAGATCAGTAAAGCACTTGACAGCTCATGCTGGAGAGGATGTGGAATAAGGAGAACAGTTATTCTTTGCTGGTGGGAGTGCAAACTTGTACAGCCACGAGGAAATCAGTGTGGTGGCCCCTTGGGAAGGTGGGAATTGATCTACCTCAAGAGCCAGCTATATTATTCTTGACATATAGTCAAAGGATGCTTTGTCCTACCCCAGGCATGCTTGCTCAGCCATGTTCACTGCTGCTCTATTGATAATAGCCAAAAACTGGAAGCACCCTAAATGTCCCTCAACAGAAGAACGGGTGAAAATGCAATATATTTACAAATAAAATATTACTTGCCTGTTTAAAAATGGTATCATGAAATTTGTGGAGTAAATGGATGGAACTAGAAAAAAATATGTCCATGTATGAAGATGATCTACGATGAAATTGCCCAAAAATGGGGGAGACAGAACCCCAACTGGGCATTTCTTGTCACCAAAAGAAGCTTCCAGCGCCAGGAATGGGTTACATATAATTGAGTAAACAACTCAGGTTGTTGCCAAGACTATATGTCCCTCTCCACAAACTGACAGCAAGACCCCATTGCCGAAGAAAACACCTGCGCAGCTCGCTGAACATGGAGAAGTCGAGCGGGTGTCAACACAGAGCAATTAAGCTAGTTTCCAGGGAGAAACTGTGGTTTTCAAATCTCTTCAAATCACATTTTCTAGGCAATTTGGCCATTTCACATAGACAAGTACAGTTCCCGTTATCTTGAAAAAAGCAAGATTTACTCTCTGAGCAGCTGGCAGCCAAGGTCATTTCTCCAAGGCAGTTTGTCAAACACTTGCTTCTTCGGTCAAGAGAAAGGGGCTTGAATGACTAGGCAGGCAGCAGTTCGTCAAAGCAAAGCTTCGGCAAACTTAAACTTTCATTGAGTCAGAAGTATATAACTCTATTTCCTTTAACTCCTTAGAGGGTTTAAGTGAAACCCGTTAGTGGGCTCCCTGCCTTAAAGCGGTGGTTGTGGCAGAACCCTCAACTTCATTACTTATTTTCATGTCATTGAATATTGTTTTCTGAGTAAGTTTATTAGTAAATTCATCTTAATCATTTTTAGTTGATGTAAAAACTTGTCAATATGTCTGTCCCTCCGCACTGTCACCCTCCTGACTTTGTAGTGACATGCATACAAATGTCTGTGGGAGCACAGATTGTTTGTGCTGGACTGTAATCACAGCATGTGGGGGACAGCAGCAGGCGGATCTCTGTGAGTTCAAAGTCAGCCTGGTCTGCATTGCAAGTTTCAGGCCAGCCAGGGCTACACAGTGAGATCCTGTCTCAACCCAAAAGATATCTATGAAAACACAACATCAGTTTCCCTGCTTGACTACTTCTTCCCAACAAGATGATAACAGGCTTGCCTCCTGCTTTGATTTTAGTGGATGTCTTAGGTTTTTCACTCTGACAAATTTGTTGCTTCAGTAACGGAAAGAGTAAAAGAACCAGTGTACAGAAATTCAAACATCAAAAAGATCAAGTTATTTCATATGCCAATTTTGAAACAGGCACTAGTACTGCATTTGATGAATTGGAAGTGGGTAAGGTACATTTGAACTACAGATAAATAACAAATAGCATCATTAGTGTAAACATGTCTCTGATATTGCAGGTAAAAATTTCATCAATTTATGAATCTGTGAACTTGAGAGGTTGAAGCAGGAGGATTACAACATCAAGGCTAGCCTGGGCTTCATGGGGAAGGTCTGTCTCAAAAAAATATATATCTTTTTATCTCTATTTTTTAAAAAAGCTTAATATTTTGTGGGTTTTGATGTTGTTTTTAAACCTCATAATTGTAAATTATAGACATTGTTGGTTGTAGAACTAGCTTAAATAGCTGTCGCTTTCCATACTAGTCCGTTTACATTTTCCTTATATTTCAGGATTTAAGAATTAAAGTGTATTGAAACCTTTCTATTTGTTGTCTATCTGCTCATGCAGATATGCGAGCACACACAGACACACACACAGACACACACACAGACACACACACAGACACACACGCACAGATACACACACAGACACACACGCACAGATACACACACAGACACACACGCACAGATACACACACTCACACAGTATCCAAAACACAAGAGGAAATACTTGTGCTGTCACCCTGCCATTCTCTGTCCCTTTCAGACACATCAGGCTCCAGACTGAGAAGCAAGTGACAATAATAGATCTGCTGTCCTATGCCCACCTTTATCTTGGATGATAACCCACCACCACTGGACCAGCCAACTCCCCCTCCCCTTTAGCTCCATGGCAGCACCACACCCCAGCCAGGGATGTTACTGTTTCTCTACTTCGCACACTAGATGGTTCTCTGTCAGAAGGAGGGCGGTCACCTGCCATCTCATAGCTGCTACGGGAAGGACAAAGCTAACAGGGTTTTGTGAAAGTTCCACGTGACATTCTTTTTTTAGCACAAAAGAGGCTCCACTTTTCATGAAACCATGGAAACCAAACAGGAAGCTCTTTCACTTACTTATTTTTCCGTGCCAGAACATCAGTCTCAGAAATGTGAAGGACAGACATGGAAGCACAGGACTCACACTGCCAGAGTCACGTGGTCTTGGAGCTGACTTGACACGCAGGGCCCCTGGCAGGTGGGACGGGCAGCAGGCAACTGGAGCCCTATCCCAGAGGGCTCCTTCTGACTCCATCCTTTCGCCTCTGGGCAGCACCTGGCCTAATGCCCACCCTCTTGGCTGGCTCTGCCTTCCATGAGTGAACTTCTCCAGCGCATCTCCTGTTGTGACAGCTGAGCCACAGGGGCAGTGACTGCTTCTCTTCCTACCTTGCCTGCTTGCCTGACTTCCCAAAGGGACCCCACGTACCACATTTGTAATTTTGCACAGATATACAGGTTTGAGGGCATAGGTGGTTCCTAATTCAGGAAGAATCCTGTGGTCCTGGATGTAAAGTCACCTTGTGGACTAAAGGTGACAATGTCCAGAGTGCCTATTGCTTCCTGTTGTGCAAAAGGGGGAAGACAGAATCGAGGACACCTGTTGTCCCCCCTCACTGGCCCACAGCCATGGACTAAAGGGGTACAACTATGACAGGGAACCCTGATTGCTCTTCGAGCTGATGAGGGAGGGGGACTTGATCGGGGGAGGGGGAGGGAAATGGGAGGCGGTGGCGGGGAGGAGGCAGAAATCCTTAATAAATAAATAAATTTAAAAAGAAAAAAAAAGAGTGCCTGTTGCTTGGCGCCCCCTTGTGGACTAAACAGGACTGAAAAAGTCAAGATGCCTGTGGAGTACCACTTCCGTGTGATTCTGTGTCACAGATGGCACACTGTGGCCTTCTCCAGCTTTTCCTTAACAGGGGATGGTCAGCGCTCGGAAGTGCCTTCTTTGCATAGATAACACTGTTTCCCGGGTTAAACCTCTAATTACAGATAGGGGCTCGGCTTGCCATAGAGCTGATGCTCTTGGATCTTATGGTCTTTTCTAATGGCTGTTGAGCTGGGCTCCGAGGGCATGCTTCATTTGACAGGCACGGGTGCTCCGTCCAGGCTGGAAATGTCCCATTGCCTGCTGCTCCAAAAACCTGGGTGTGGTCCCAGCCAGTTGGAGTAAAGGCTTTCAGGTGGCTACACACTGGGTCTGAGTGGTCATCTCTGGGGGGGGGGGGGGGTCCCTGTAACAGTGTGACCGTAAGACCTGCCGTGTACAACTGTCTAACTGACTAAAGCCAAAGAAACTTTGGAAGCAGTTCTAGGCAAGCCTGGGTCGCTCTTGCCAGGATCTGGGGCGGTCTTGTGAAGTACGTGGGAGCTATGTCAAGAGTGCCTGTTGTCCCCTTGTGGGACTGTCCTAGCTAGGGTGACTACTGCTATGATGAAATACCATGGCCAGAGCAAGTTGGGTGACACAGGGATTTATTAGGCTTCCAGCCCCACATCAGAGTCTACCAGTGAAGGAAGTCGGGACAGGAACTCACACCGGGGCTGAACCTGGAGGCAGGAACGGGGTGCAGAGGTCGTGAAGGGGAGCTGCTTACTGGCTTGCTCCCCATGGGTTGCTTAGCTAGTTTTCTTATAGAACCCAGGGACCACCAGTCCAGGCATGGCACCCCCCACAATGGACCAGACTAGATGGGAACGACAATGTCAAGAGTGTTTTTTCGCGCCCTCACAGACAAAAGGTTTTGAAAGACAAAGTCAAGAGTGACTTTTGCCCCCTCCCGCCATGAACTAAATTGAACAACAGTGTCGAGAGTGTGTGTCACCTCCTCGTGAACTGAATGGGAACAATTTCAAGAATGCCTGTCACCGCTAGTGGACAAAATGTGAATGATAACGCCAAAAGCACTTGTCAATTTGTCCGAGACTAACCGGGAACAGCAATGTTGAGTGCCCAGGACCACGCAGGGGTGGATTTGGAAATCTGGCTCAATCAAGAGCCCAGCTTGGAGTGTAACTGGCCTTAGGCGGGTCGCTGGCTATTCCCACTGCCCTCACCCCACTTTGGACGCATCTACCTCCGGGACTACTGAGCTCATCATCAGAGAACCCACCCACCCCAGTCATTTACAGTACTGGAAAACACATGTGAATAGTGGCAGACTTCAGCCCCATCTGGGAACACACTGATTCTCAGCAGGAGCTTGCCCTGTCCTTCCTTGTATGTACAGCAGTGGGGTGAGTTGAAGGCAGCGGGGGTGACAAGGGGTGGCAATGGAGGATGTGTAGGTCAGTGTGATCCATCACTATATTTGCAGATTTCCTGTGATGTGTAGGGAATACGGAAGACAACTCAATTATGCCACATTATGAAAGGATACCTTTTAGTTATTCTGTTTAAGGGACATTTCTATAATACTAGAATCACTAAGGTATTTACAACAATATTTTAGAGATCGCAAAGGCAATGGAACAAACATATTGAGAATCCGCCTCTTTATTGCTAAAAGAATGGCTGAGAAGTAACGGTGGCTGTGGTCAGCATAGGCAGTTGAGATGTTGGTGGCACAAGAAGAAGCCATTCCCATCTTGCTCCGGGACTAGGGTGACACTGAAATCTTCAGAGGACAGATGTTCTAGGGCCCCAGATGGTGCATTTCTGGTCCTCCTCCCATTTTTCTGTGTGCAATGCTCCTAATCTTAAATTAGTCCTGCACGTGGAAGGATAAGGGACCGCATTAGTACACTAAAAAGCATGCGGATAAAACAAACAAACAAAAAAAACCCAACTGACATTTGGTTGAATTTTTTGGTAGGTACTCGGGATTGAACCTAGGGCTTCAACTATGCCAGGGACAAGTGCTTTATTCCTGAGTTATAGGCTCAACCCAATTTGTGAGATCGTAGAGTCCATACAAAGAAGCCCTTCATTTCATGCTGTTCTAATTCAGTGAGGGACTGAGGGTATAGTAACTGCTCAATGTGTGTGAACTCTGGCTTCCAATCACGGAGCTACAGGGGAAAGGCCAGAAGAACCCTGTTTAGGACGGAAAACACTGCGCCCTTCCTTCAGCAAACCCCAGGGAGCACCAGGAAACGTTTCAGGCTCTGTAGTAGATACTGGCCATTCAGTTTGTATATAGGGTGAGGCAAAGGGCTCTTTCTGAATGCTGCCTCGTTCTCCTGGGCCACTAGAGGGAGCACTTCTCCCTTTTAAGTATGTGGCCTGCAAATTCAGCACTACTCATGGCCAGGAGCTCCACAATAGCAATAGCAATATTAACAAAGAGAACCAACTGTTCCAGGAAGGAAAATGAGGACCACGCTCACATCCAGGACACTTTCACAATGTAGTTCTGATGATGCTCAGAAAGCAGAGCAGGCGAGGTGTGGGACAAGCCTTTTGGAGACATTCATGTTAAGATGTCTGAATTTTAAAACACAGTCCTTCACCTTCTTTGTGGCATGTGGGTCACTCTGCCCTCAGAGGGCCATTGAGAGCACACTAGGTAAACTGAGGGCAGGACAAAGCAGCTTGGCAATTATCAGCTTCTCCATTCCAGGGCTGCTTTGAACTCCTCAGAAAGCGAATGCCGTACTACGCACTGTGCCCTGAGCACCCTGAGCCAAACCTGGCTTAAGCCTGGAGTGTAGCCTTGGGATGTACGTAGCCTTAGGGGCCTGAGAACAGCTGGTGTTCTAGAGACGCGACCTCCCCAGTCTTCAGGGCCTTTCCGTTAGTGAGCACACAAGAGGGAACTCAGAGATACACCTAATGCCATTATCCCTATGCTCCTTTGAATCTTTTACTTTCCTTCTTCCCAGAAGAACTCCTGTACAGCTTGGACTTTCCCCTGCTCTCACGCGACCACTTCTGAGTCCAGTGAGCTGCAAATCCACTTACCTCTGCCCGAGAAAAATGGAAAAAATATTCCAAACTACCACAGGTATGAATTTAACCCACAGTGAGGTTTAGCCCCCACCATCAACCAATCACACAAAACAGTTCTTCATGATGCCTGACAGGGATGAGGAAAACGATCTGATGTCAGAAAGACATTCACTACCAACATAAATGTGTGGGTTTGAGGCGTGCGCGTCTGTCTGCTTTTATTTGAGGCGGGGTCTGATGTGGCCCAGGCTGGCCTTGAACTCCTGATCTTCACCTCCAGGGTCGTGGTATTATGGGTAAACACCATCATATGTGGACTCTTCATATATCAGGAAGACACACCAAGATGTACCAGACAATTTAAATTCAGGTCTGCCATTCACTACTTTGCTTTACCAGCAAGGTAGTGAATTTGAAGCAGCAATGCCAGGAGAAGCAGGCATTGTATGCTCTCCCCATCCCATCACTACAATGGCTGAAGATTTACAAATTCCCTCCTTCCTCTTAGAATTTATGCTTAAATTTACTATCGGAAATAATAACACAGAGCTCATAGATTCATAAATTTGGGTGATTTCTTCTATTTTTGCTTGTGAGCCTAGCCTTTAGCGGCGGAGCCATCTCTCCAGGTCAAACTTAGGGGATTTCTACATCATTCTTTACCCCAATATTATGTAAAGGGCAGTAATATTCTTTTTCCCTTTAGGAAGCCACGTTCTCACATGCTGGGGCTTTCTGACTCCATTTTGTACCCACAGAGTTTAAAGACCCTCCCCAAACCTAGAGACTTCAACAACAGCCCACCAACTCAATATATCTAGGACAAAGGTATTCAAGATCTCAGGTGAGTTTTAGAATGGCTATCCTGCCAAACGGCTTTTTTTTTTTTCAGATTACCGACCTACATTCAGGACTCACTTACACCCATCCATCTTGCGAGATCCTTCCTAAAAGGAAAAACAAACAAACAAACAAAACACATTCAGTATGTGGCCCTGTGGATGAAATTAAAGCAGGCACAGTATATTTCATGTTCATGCTTCAATGTTTGTCCTATCAACCCCTCCTCCTGCCCCCAACAGTGTTTGCAGCATCCACCTTGAGGCTTAATTTACCCTGAGTTCTCCCACCACCACCCGGTACCAACTTAAAGGGGAAGCCAAAAAAATAAAATCATTCATCAAAATACATCATGGTCCAATGTAATTTAAAGACACACAAAGCAATCAAGAGATGAACAGATATAAAATTTCAAGCAAAGGCAGAACTCCAACCTCAGGCTTCTCACTCTGCTCTGGCAAGACCTTGCCTTGCTGCAGTCTAACCGGACTCGTTTAAATACAGCAAGAAAGTAGTTTCCTTCGCGGCTGCCCTAGCTTTCGTCATACCCCAACCCCCATTTGCAGGAGGATAGAGTTGGGCAGTCTAGAGTTGCCAGGTGGCCTTTCTTTCAAGAGGGGATAAGGGGGCCCTGGGAGAGAACCAA